GGATCATACACTTAGAACATCTATTGCAACTATAGAGGTGTTGTAGCAGAGTGCTCATGTTCCCTCATATATAGGCTGATCTAGTCGGTTTCTTTTCTGACAGTATATATATATATATTTGGATTCATATACAGTATGCAAATGGAAAGTCAAGATCATTCCCTTTGTTGAACATACACTTAGAACATCTATTTTTGGCTTTTGCCACTGCAATCAAATTCAGCTCAGGCGCAAGAGAGCAGCATCATTCAGGTCTAGGTTGATAGGCTGAAGCAGTTCATCTGAATTGTCTGCCAACTCCTGGAAGAAGTGGTTGAGGCGAGAAGGCGTCATAGCTGCAAGCTCCTCGTCCTGCTGCTTGATGGTTTCAAGGCCATTGTTCCTGATGTCCGTTCGGATCATCTCTATCACTTCATTCCAAAGTTGCACAGCCCACACAATGGTGTTCTTCACAAAAACCATGGTGGTCTCCTCTCCCAGAAGGATCCGGTCAAGGATCATGGATTCAATTGCTTGCTCCAGTGCCAATGGAATGTAGCACCTTGCCGTGTCCTTGGTCGGGGCCCCGTGCTTCTGCTTGTTGAAGCGGAGGATTCTCCGAAGACTGTTTGGAAGTTCTTTGTGCTTCTTGCAAAGGGCTGGAGCGCTTGCGCACAGCAATGCCCACTGTTGCTCTCGGCGGGCAGCCCCCCACTTGGACTCATACAAACAGCCAGGAAAGTATCCCGGGAGCTTTCTATTCTCAACAGCCTTGATGGGATTCTTTTCACCACTGGCCTTGGCTTTGTCATATGCCAGGAATATCTCATTCTTGTCCCAGATCGTGGCCATGCGCTTTTTTCCTTTCCCGTTCTTGTTGCCTGGTCCTTTGCCCCTGGTCTTCTTCTTGGGCATGAGCTGCAGCAAGGCTGCGGGATTAGACTTCTGCAGCAAACGTCGTCTCACAACTTTCTGTTCATCAGCAGGTTGTTGAACAAGTTGATCACCATCAGATGTCTTGCATTCAGCCAGTTGCTGATCCGTCAGTTCTGGACTGCCGCGGCGGTGACCCAATTTGGCTTCACTGACATCCCTCACCTTGCGCTTCACCCCCCTTTGCTGTTCATCTGCTTGGGGTAGATTGGAAGGCCTCTCAACCAATTTGGCTCCATCGCCTTCAGAAAACGCCATCAGCTTGCTCCTCACAGCCTTCAGCTTCTCTTCTTTCTGGGGTGAAATGCCAGGACTGTCAATGGCTTCAAGCTTGACCTTCACATCCTTCAGCTGGCCTCCAGCACCAGTCGCGGCTTGCTTGTCATCTTGCTGAAGCTCTACCTGGATCTTGTTGGTATCGGTGGTTTTCGATTTCACCTTTTCCAGCTCAATATGGAACCAGCAATCACAGGAAACAAAGGATGACAAAACGATGGCCTGCACCACTGTGCTCGTGAAAGAATTGCCTGCAAGGTCTTGCGCCAGTCCACTTGATATCATCTCATCATATGCCACCGGGTTCTCTGCGTCTGCACGCCAAATCCCCTGTGCCCAAAGGAATTCTTCTGGTTTCAAAAACCTTTGCAGCAAGTTGGAGTACACATCGTGGGTTGGAGACACGCACGTGACCACATTGGTTGCAGCCTCTGGGGCCCGCTGAGAGGAGGTGGAGCAGTCTACGAAGATGTTCTCACCATGTCCAGCCTTGGCATTGGGCAAACCGTTGATATAAATATATATATATATATATAGCGCATTATATATATATACATTGAATACATATATATATACATATGCATCCCCACCATAATATATATATATATGTATATATATATAACGTATGTAATTATATATATATATAAAGAGTGAATAAAGTTGAAGCTGGAAAGCACTCTATCCTTGGGGTATCCACACTTAGAACATGACCAGGTCGCCCAAAAAAACAGCTAAGACAAAACCAGGTAGCTGCGCGAGCTTTCTCCATGGCAACATTTATTTGGTCCTGCAGACGCCCTCCACGGATTTTTTCTTGAGGCTGATCACTGAGAAAGCACTCTTCCATCCTGAAGTGGAAATGTGTCTGCAGACTGGAAAGCGCCCCAGACAACATACGATCAAATTCACCTTCTGCGCGTGTGCTCCCACAATGTGTTTCTGCCACACCATACACTCGGTTCCGTCGCTGCCGAACTAGGAAGTGCTGCGAGTCCACTTTGTTAAAGGCCTTTGGGGCAAACAAAACTTCAGGTGCACCATCAGACCCTCCAAAGGTTGTTTTTGATAAATACCGTTCAACAAAACATAGAACACACTCATTCATATATATATAGAGAGATTTATATATTTATATTATATATGAAAAAATATATATATATTCTCCGATGCAGCTGGAGCACAAAGCGGTACCCCAAAGCTTCTACATCCTCTTTGACCACTTCAATGACTGGGCGATGGATGTCACCAGTTGCAGACCTTGTTTGCTCTGCCACGGATTTCACATTCTCATAGATACTCACCGCAGGACCCAAGTGTTTCATCACGGCTCTAAATCCAGATCTATAGGTTGGTCCACTCGAGCCCATGCCTGATGAATCTTCATAGCATCCTGCATAATGTACACGTTGTGGATTCCTCTTGCCTGGGCAGTTTGGTAATAGCACTGGCAAGATACACATTTGTATATACTTATATATATATATATGTATCTCATATATATAATATGTCTTACAGTCAGTGAAGTCACCGCGGACAAGAGCAAGAAGACACCGACTTTACAACAAAAACATTTTACATAAACAGCCTCCAGGATACTGAGGTCTTTGCAGCTGGGGCCGCACAGGTGCAGGTCTGCCCTCATAGAACTATCAATGGCGTGCTCCCGGCCACACTTGTAGCAAAAGCCTGACATGTCCTCGAAGTTGTGGCAATCAGCAAAGCAATGTTCCACACTGGGATGCGCTGCCAAAATGTACTTAAGCTTTGCCTGGTCAGACTCAGCAGAGAAAACGTGGCGCAGGCCAATCTGAACCTGAGTGCTGCATCACGAGAATCGTATAATAAATAACAATTCGGGTATTCTGATTATGTATGTACACGTGTGCACATATTTATGGACACATTGTCACATGGTTGTTGGGGGGTCATACACTTAGAACATTTGATTCAGTCTTGACAGGGAACACCAAATTGATGGTTCATAGCTTCAAGAAGAGCACGAATTGCAACCACACAGATATCAGAACCTGAACAGGCAGTGCCAACACGCAAGACATGCTGATCCATCACGTGAGCAACTTGTGCAAGCCTTTCTTGGAATCGGGGAGGTAGTAGCTTCACAAAGAACTTCGCGGTCTCAAAGAGAGAAGGGGCTGGAGGTAGCATATCCACTACTTGGTATAAGTGTCTCTTCTTGCATGTGAAGTGTCTGTTTCTGAACTTGGTTGAAGCAAACCGCACCCTGATAGGAGCATCTAGAGGCTGGACTGCCTGGATTCGCCATGCACAAACCTTCTCCTTGTCCCGTACTCTTTTGGCCCATGTCTTGGACTCCAAAGCATTGAGCATGTAGGACTTCCACGGGTAGAACCTGCGCACATCCTCGCATTTGTCAAACTCAATAGTCCCCACATGTTCGCACTCATTGCCAAGGGTGTCGGTGACAAGAATGTGGAAGCTGGCAGGGAGGTTGTTCAAGGCATAGCTGCGGAAAAGGTACATGGGGGATATATCTTTGCGCCGGAACCACATCCAAGCTTCCTCGCGAAGCACTAGGCAGGAAACCTGCTGAGAAGCTGATCTTGGTGATTCTGCTGGCTGCCCTATCGTGCTTTTGGCTGGTGTGGCTGGTTTTCTGGGCCGTTTGGCAGATGGCTCTTTGTCATCAACCTCGCACTGTCTCTTCTTCTCAGGCGGCGTTGGAGTTTGTTGGGAAGTGCGACTTGCACTGCGACTTGCTTTCAACTCTTCCAAGGCCTTTCTCCCCTCAGTTCCTTTGAGGCCTGGCCCAGACCTTTTGAAAGCTATTTGCATTTGATGTAGTCTCTTGGCCTTTCCAGCAACAGGGGTGTGTGGTTGCCTTGTTTGGCGGGTACGCTCTACAGGCCCCAAGACCACTAAACTCCCACCCGAGCTAACTGTCTCCGGTGACTCCTCTTTGACTTCCAACTTGACTTCTTTCTTTGGAGTCAACCATCCTCCCAGTGAGGGTTGAACATGCTTTCTCTTAGATTGCTTGCCCTGACTCGGTAGTAGCGCTGCCTCCTCTGAAGGAGCCTTTGCTGGTGGAGCATGTTCTAAGTGTGGTGCTGCTGCAGCTGTTGCTT